AACTGTAATGATATTATAATGTGTATTACAGTGTTATTTGGGGATCCATTTGGTTTTCCATCAGAGGTACTGAAAGGTTTGTTATAACTATTACTTCTCTCTTACCGCCAATCGTTTGTCACAATCAATTGTCATGTGTTCACATGAAATCTAATATCGATAAAATAGCTTATATTAAACAAACAAATAGACATCACAAACAAATCACATAAATTCAGTAAACAAGGGAAAAGAGTTGTATGTATTTATTATAATTACTTTTGGGTCAATGTTTTTAAGCAAATATTTGTTCATAAGTGATGATAATGGCGTGAAAGTGGTGATTGATTTTTGGGAAGAAATCTATTAATTGTTTATTAATATTGATTACAAGATAATAATGTTTTGAAACTTTTTATACGGAAATAGGAAGCGATTCAGAGCTTATAACACAGGCCTTATCTATGGAACCGCCGCAACAGTTCAGACAATTCAATTTCGAAAGAAGTAATAGTTATAATAAACCTTTCAGTACCTCTGATGGATCACCAAAAGGATCCCCAAATAGCACTGTAAAACACATTATAATACCATTATAGTTGACACTTTACCTAACATTTGGTCTAACCATGCATTTTATAGTCAGATAAAGAGACAACAATCAATCCCTACGCACAGCACCACATGTCTCAAAGGGACTCGGATTTTGTGGCCAGAATTTTACACGTATTAAACATTAATCTTTATTATTAAAACAATTATATTAAGTTTTTGTAAACATAATTTATGCATTTTAGTTTAATTTAGCTATTAAATAATTTAGCTAACTTATATCATAAAAATATTAGACAATTTACCTAATCTAATATATTTTTAGTATTATGAGAACATTTTAAAAATTCTAATAATACCTATCGTTATATGAAACCTGGGATCAGTTGATGTCATTGACGCCACTGTCATATTCATTGATCGTAATGTGGGACGAATGCATTTACGCCATACGAGATCCGTTTGGCAATCGTCCCCTTTGTATGGGGGCTTTAGGTATGATTAGATGAGTNTATTATGAGAACATTTTAAAAATTCTAATAATACCTATCGTTATATGAAACCTGGGATCAGTTGATGTCATTGACGCCACTGTCATATTCATTGATCGTAATGTGGGACGAATGCATTTACGCCATACGAGATCCGTTTGGCAATCGTCCCCTTTGTATGGGGGCTTTAGGTATGATTAGATGAGTTTGGTTTTCACTATTATAGACACTAATTAATTACAATTTGTCGGTCAGTGTCGTCGCCATCACAGGCCCACTCGTCAACCCTTCCCACACACGTTGACGGATGGGTCGTGTCGTCCGAGTCGTGTTCCTTCCCATCGGTTTGCGCCAAACTCTATAGGGATGTAATGCCCGGAGAGATCATTAAACTCGAGAAGAATCGCAAACCCAAGACATTGGCTATAGTTCCTCGACCTGAAGGTATAGTTATTATTCATTAATACCATTAGATAATAAATATATAGACAAACTGTTAGACAATATATGGGTGGAAAAAA